AGCTGGCCATCCCCTGTATTTTCTCAGAGGGTCCCTCCCTGTTATTTTCTTCTTACAATCACAGGCTTCTGCTAGCCTCTTGGCCACCATCCAGCTGCAAAGTTCATCCAGCCAGAGCTGTCTGGCATGGAGACCCACAGCAGGCATCGAGCCAGTGAGGAGAGAGGCTGGTGATGGGCACATGCGCATCAGAGCCGAGAAACCTGGAGTTTCCCACTTGGTGTTTGTGGCTGTTTGGGGTGGGGTTAGGCTGCTCTCTTGATCCCTTTTCTGTAGACAGGAAAGAGGACCTTTTCCAATGCACCCATTTTCTCTCATTAGCACATCTCCAACAGCCCCAGGTAGGAGAGTGGAGGAAACATGTCCCTTTCAGAGCAGAAGTCTTCGGAGGCTAGCAGGTGGGCATGTGGTTTCTCGTTTCCTATGTTTCCTGCTATTCTTGTCACTTTTTGTGAAAGAGAGTTCATTTCTGGAGGTGCTGTGAATGGAATCTATTCGTTTCCTTTGAACAGCTGATCCCTGAATGCTTTTCAAATCTCAGATCCAAAGCCTTCTCCATGGGAGTCTGAGCAATCTAAAGGAAGCTCTTCCTCCTGGTTTTTCTACACTAGCACCTGTCTGTGTCTGCTGTCCACTTGTCACGAGCTGGCGCTTCCATGTTTACTGTCAGTTACTACCCAGCAAAATGGGAGTTCCATGAAAGGAGGAATGTGTCTAGCTTGGTCACTGTTCTGTCCCTAGCATAAAGGACAATGCCTGGCCCAAAGCAGATCATGTTTTTGCTTTTTAGATGCTCAGTAAATGCCTGTTGAACTATTAGTTAATCCAGCTTAATAGGGACGATTGTAAGTTCCTGTACTTGGATCCAAAAAGCACCCACATAGTGGTAGAATAGGGAAGATTTGGAATAATAGCAACAGATGCAAAAACAGAGTGGTTTCAGTTGTCTATAATCTCAGTATCAGTCAATAGGTCAGTGTGGTTTGTGTGGTCTTTTCCAGAAAAGCTGCTTTTCTCTTACGCTGCAATGACACAAGTAGAGTCTCTAGTGTACAGTATTGGACATTCAATTAACATTCATGAATATCCACTAAGGGGCAGACTCTGTTTGTGGTGCTGAGCATATTATAGTTGAAAAATGCAGAGTCCTGAGGCTGGAGGGGCATAAGCAAAGAGAAGAGTGGTAGGAAAAGAAGCCCCAGAGGCAGACAGGGGTGAGATCATGTGGGCTTTGTATGCCATGGTAGGGAGGAGAAGGAGGTGATCCTAATTTTCTCTGAGCTGATCAGTCTACACCAAGGTTTGGCTTTTGATTCCAATCAAGTGTGAGAGAGGGAGACAAACTGGGGTTGAGGAGAGCTGCCACATCGTCAGGAGACTCAGGCCCATGTCACAGGGTAAGAGTGGGGTGGCTACAGGAACTGATGGTATTCAGTTTGGAAAAGAGAAGAATGGGGGAGGACATGGGAGCTATCTGCATGTGTCTGCAGAACTGTCATGTGGAAGAGGGAGGAACCTCATTTCCTTTTAAATTCTGTGTGGCTCAACAGCTAGAACCAGCACTGATGAGTGCCAGAGCCATAGATACAGATTTGGGCTTCACCTGGAGGAGATATTAGAACCAAGATATTAGCCCTCTGTGATGGTTAATAGTGAGTGTCAACTTAATTAGATTGAAGGATGTAAAGTATTGTTCCTGGGTGTGTCTGTTAAGGTGTTGCCAAAAAAGATTACATTTGAGTCAGTGGACTGGGAAAGACAGACCCACCCTCAATCACCTTGTGACTGTGTGAGTCAATACTCCTTAAAAACTCCCCTTTATATCTACATCTATCCTATTAGTTTTGTCCCTCTAGAGAACCCTGACTAATACACCCTCCAACACTCAAATAGGCTGCAGTGGGAGGGAACACATCTAGATTCTGGTCAAGTAGAGACCAGATGGTAAAGCTAGAATGGAAGCACTAGCTATGTATATTATCGCTGTTTACATCAATGATCTCCATTGCTTGCCCCATGGTCTTAGATGGTCTATTGGGTATAGATTCCATAGAACCTATCCCCTTTGAATAGGTCACATGCATTCTCCAACAGAAGTCTGAGTCTGAGCAGACAAGGGAACTAGCATGCATGCCACTCTGCGTATTGTTAGGGTAGCAAGGCTTGATTTCCGCTGTACTCTAAAAGCAGGAAGCGGGTTCTGTCTCAGATCTGCGGAGTTTGCTGTAGGGTCAGGGCAGCTGTGTGTCTGTCAAGGTCTAAGGAAGGGAGACCTGCCACAGCAGATGTCACTCTACAAACATCCAGGTAATTCGCCTCCTTTCAAAAATGTGGAGATGAAGGACTTCGTGCTAAAGAATACCTCTTCTGTTTCTGCTGCTGCCTGAGGAATCTTCCTAGGGCCTGCTAACTCTTCAGGGGAGCTTTTTGCACAAAGGACAAATAGCAGTCAAGGCTGATCCTTCAGCTCAAAATTCTTTGAGAAGCTCTCTCTGCAGATGACTGAGCACAGGGTCAGATTGCAGCAAAGCCACTGTAGATTCTGGGGCTCTGTTGTCAAACTCAGGTCACAGGACTTTGAAAACGTCTGCATTTTATCCTTTTAGAGGAAGGATTAACATGTCTGTCAGACTATTACAATGCATCACTGTTTCAAAGAGCTAAGAATTTGGTTCACCATGGTAAGGGCAGCAAAAAGTGTGCTTTCTGATTAAAAACAAAAAAAAGTCTTTCCCAAAAAGGTAATAATTCATTAAACAAAACCTTAACACTGCTAACAGGGAGGGTGTTAAATGAGGCAGAATTTATGAATTTATCAGAAATCTCACCAGCTATGACCATAACAGGTGATATTAACAGCAGAAATGGTCATAGCCAAAAACTGGCCACTCCCCTGCTCAAGAATCTCCTGTCGCTCTCTAGGTATTCAGGTCCCATTCCTCAGTTGGGTGCCTGCAGAACATCAGGGACCAGACCTTCTTGACTTAACCAGATAGCTCAGCCACTCCAACAACACAGACTGCTCCTACCAAGCCAGTTCTCTTGGAGTCAATAAAACCCTCAAACTACAAGGGTTACGGAGCCACTACCATGTGCTCAAGCCTGGAAACCTCAGCCTTTGTCCTCAAGGAATTTGCATTTGGTTGAGGAGACTAGGCCAGCAAATATGAGGTAGTCAGGGAAAAGTCTGGAGCTGCATTGCCCAGTATAGATGGTGGATGTGAGTAGAGATGCGGAAAAAGCCCGGAGCAGCAGCTTGGATGTCACAGACGGGAAGGACGCAGCTCCTGGGGCTGGCTGTGCAGACGTGGATGGTAGTGGGTAGAGGTGGGAGGTGGCACAAAGATGTAACCCGAAAGCACTGGGAAGATAATGCCCCCAGAGTCAAGACTCAACCTGGGGGGAATGAGAGTGGAAGGGAAGACAACCCAGGCTCCCTGACCTCTGGCAGGACAATGCTGAGCCATGTAATACCAGCTCTTCAGGGGCCATGGGAGGATCGAGCCCAGAGTGTACCCAGCTCGGCAGTGTGTCCTTTTGTGGCTTTTCTTCTTCACTGTCTTTCTTCTTTTTTTTTGAGATGAAGTTTCGTTGTTGTTACCCAGGCTGGAGTGCAATGGCGCAATCTCGGCTCACCACAACCTCCGCCTCATGGGTTCAAGCAATTCTCCTGTCTCAGCCTCCCAAGTAGCTGGGACTATAGGTGTGTACCACCACGCCTGCTAATTTTTTTGTATTTTTAGTAGAGATGGGGTTTCACCATGTTGCCCAGTATGGTCTTGATCTCTTGACCTCATGATCCACCTGCCTTGGCCTCCCAAAGTGCTGGGATTATAGGCATGAGCCACTGCGCCCGGCCCACTGTTTTTCTTTTCTGAGTTCTTCACTTCTGCTTCTTGGGATCATCTGCCAAGTAAACTACCTGCTCTCCCATCCCCGGCTCAGGGCCAGTTTGGAGTAACATGCTAAGGCAAGGGCTTTACATCTTAGTGATTTAACAGGCTGTGCATCCCCAGTCAGAGGAGAACTTCCAGAGGCAGGGGTTCTTTTCTTCCAGAAGTCTCTCTCCTTGGGCTCCAGCTGTCTCATGCTGTGAGCCTCAAACCCTCCCGCACAGTAGTGTGGTGACTGCTCAAACACAGCTGGGAAGAACTGCAGCCATCATTGACTGAGAGTTCTGAGCCAGGCACAGTGCAAAGAAGCATCTTCTCAAGCGTCTTCTGATTTAAGATTCAGAGCCATCCCGGCCCATTTCCTAAATGAGGAAACTCAGGGCTTTTCCCTCCCAGATCACCTGACTAGTCAAAGGCAGAGGCAGGATTGGAACTTGGGCCCATAAAACAGAAAGGTCTATGTTCTTCACCACTGGGCTGCAGAGCCAGCTTTCCTGTTTGGGGAATGGGATGAGGCCTGGCAGGAGGTATAGAGAGGAAAGCTATGACACTAGTCTCGACAGTGCTCCTTCCCACACTCCTCTGGCCCTGCCCTCTAACCGCCACAGTTGGGAGCTGGTTCCTGGAGTCACCCCTCCGTTATCTACTCCTAAGCCATTCAACACTGATCAGGCACAAGAGAATATGGGCCCCTAAGGAACCAGGAATAGGGATAACAGTACCTTAGGCCTAGAACCACAGAGCTCTCCTCCCTCCCTTTACCCCTCATGTCTACACCCTACCCCAGTTTATTCTGCAAACAACAGAGTTTCCATTTAGGGTTCATTTGCTTGGTGTCAGAGAATTTAACCTGTCATGATGGACTTTATCAAAATGACCCAGTCCTCCACCACTGGGAGCAAATGCACTCCAGGGCATGCAGGGCTGGGTCTGGCTGCAGGAAGACATTGTGATGCAGGCAGCAGCAGGAGGGAGGGAACAAAACCAGGAGGGTGATGGGCAACCAGGCTAGGAGAGGGGCACTGGGATCCATGGGTGGAGGACCCCTCACTCACCCTTCCCACCCCTGCCTCTGGGTTCTTGTTCATATCACAGAGGACTCAGTACCTGGGTTCCTGGCTTCAACGACGCCACAAGATCTTTGACCATTTTGGCTTCAGAGACTGTGACCCCACCTACCACAAAGAGGATCAGGAGTGGGTGGTCACTAGGATGAGGCCGGCTCACCTGCAAAACAAAACACTGGGATATCAGCTGGATGGCAGTGGTGCAGGTGCAAAGCAGCTGGGTACCATCTTCACTGTCCCTCTGTAGAAATCCCAAGACTACTACTGGTAGAGGCAGAAGGCAGACAAATTCTAGGCAGACGGGGGTGGGTCCCTGGTGAAACCCAAAGACAATTTAAAGTCCAGCTACAAGTTGCAGGTAAATCTATGGACTGCATTAAGATCCTGTCTTCCCATTTGGCGTGCTTTCCTCTGATTGATCTCTACCCTCCACCTATTTTACATATACCTAGGCTTTCCTAATTGTTTTTTTATACTGTCATGTCCATCTTTGAGGGGTGCCTTTGTTTTAGCCTTTTTTTGCATACTGCAAACCAATCAGCATGCACTTCCCATTCTGAGCCCACAAAAGTCCTGGACTCAGCCACCCAGAGAGAGAAACCACTTAACTTTGGTTGGGGGACCACCCTTGCATCCCCTGTCTGCTGAGAGCTATTCCGTTGCTCAATAAAATTCTCCACTCTCCTCACTTTTCAATTGTCAGTGTGACCTTATTCTTCTTTGCTGCGGGACAAGAACTCGGGAACCGTCAACTGTGGGTACAATCTATAACACAGATGAGCTGGGGCACGCCTGCCCAGCCACAGGCTGAGCTAGTGTGCAAGCGAGGCATGGCTTGGTGGGTCGAGTAGGTGGGGCACTGCTGGTTGGAAGGCCCTGGCTGGCAAAGAGGCTGAGAATAATCCTGTGTCACTACCTCCATCATGTAGGTGTGATAAACAGCCATTAGAGAGATGATGACTCTTAGCTATCAGATGTGCCAGTGGTCTGTGAACTCATTGACCAGGAAAATGTATAACACAGTGCCTTGTTAGGTCTCTTTCTATAACGATTTTAAAGAAAGAAAAGTTAAAGGAGCAGAAGCTACTAAAAACAAGAGAAAGCTGAGGGACAACTTCTTCCTTCCTTGTCAATCTTCAGGTCTCAGCATAAACATGTCCCCTTCTTTGTTCCATGGCTCTGTTTATTTCCTTCAAAGCACCTACCACAGCCTGTGGTTAATGTATTTGTTTGTTTATTTATTTGTCAGCCATCTTCTCTACTAGAACATAATTGGTTACAGGCATCTGTCACCATGCCAAGCTATTTTTTTTTTTTTTATTTTTAGTAGAGACGGGGTTTCACTATGTTGGCCAGGCTGGTCTCCATGAGGCAAGAGCCTCATCCTCCTGGTTCATGCTACTTTCAGCTTATGTAGTACAATTTCTGGTACATAATAGTCATTCAATAAATGTTTGTGGAATTAATCAATAGTTAAAGCTCTAGGTAGGTGGAGGCAGAGGGTGTACAAAGATGAAGGAGACCAGGGGCTACCCTCAAGGTGCTTACAGTCCCAGTACAGACTTACAGCCCTTAACTTCTTCAAGCTAGCCTGAGCTAAGGGTCTATGCTGCATGGAACCTACAAGAGATGCTGCGGAGAATTCCTCCTGATTCCTTCATCAGTGAGGCAAAGATATTCTTTTTTTTTTTTTTTTTGAGATGGAGTTTCGCTCTTGTTTACCCAGGCTGGAGTGCAATGGCGCGATCTCGGCTCACCGCAACCTCCGCCTCCTGGGTTCAGGCAATTCTCCTGCCTCAGCCTCCTGAGTAGCTGGGATTACAGGCACGCGCCACAGTGCCCAGCTAAGTTTTTGTATTTTTAGTAGAGACGGGGTTTCACCATGCTGATCAGTATGGTCTCGATCTCTTGACCTCGTGATCCACCCGCCTCGGCCTCCCAAAGTGCTGGGATTACAGGCGTGAGCCACCGCGCCCGGCCCTGGCAAAGATATTCTTAAACACTAAAATGAGAATAAATGAAATTAACTGCTCAGGAAATGCAAAAGGACCAGTAACTAGACTCTGTGATGGGGACACTGATGGGACAAGAAGGGATTCCTGAAGATAGTATGTTTTGAGCTGAATGTGGAAGCCAGAGTTGGTTTGATGGGAGTGGGCAGGAGAAATAGTGTGAGTCAAGTTCTGGAGACAGGCACTCACCAGCAGGGTGGAGCGGGACAGGGAGGCCCAGCCAGGATGGAGTGTGCATGGAGTCATTGCAGGAAAAAGTCTGCCAGCTGCCTGCATGGCCACCAAAGCCAGAAGGTGGGGAATGGGCTTCACCTCCAGCAAGGAGATGGGGAATGAAGATAGTAAGTGTACTTGCCCATCACAGTCATTCAGGCCCAAGGCATCTGTAGGTCACAGGCAGTCCCGAGGAGTGCCTGGGGGAGGAGCAGGACAAGAGGAAGTCCTTTCTTTTACCACCCCCCAACTCCTTTCTCAGCTGAGCTCTCTGGCTCCTTTGCCTGATTATACCCACGTCTCAACATCTTATTTTAAAAACCCTTGAAAGGATGATACATTAAGTGTTCCAAGTTATGTAAGTTATTCCTTGGCTTCTAAAGAGGAAATTCAGAATGCAAAGGCAGGCAGGCAGGAGGAAAGGAAGGACAGAGAGAAGAGAGAGGACTGGGGAACTAGCTAATAGCCTCAGAATAGGTGGTGGTGAACACTGGAAAAAGTTTCAAAACACTCTCATCTTTTTTTTTTTTTGAGACGCAGTCTCATGCTGTCGCCTGGGCCAGAGTGCAGTGGCGTGATCTGGGCTCACCTCAGCCTCCATCTCCTGGGTTCAAGGGATTCTCCTGCCTCAGCCTCCCAATAGCTGGGATTACAGGCATCTGTCACCACGCCTGGCTAATTTTTGTTATTGTTGTATTTTTAGTAGAGACGGGATTTCACTATGTTGGCCAGGCTGGTCTCAAATGCCTGACCTTGTGATCCACCTGCCTCAGCCTCCCAAAGTGCTGGGATTACAGGTGTGGGCCACCATGCCCAGCCCAAACACCCATCTTTAGAAAAAGACTCAACTCCACATTCTGCTCTGTACCTCTGTTTACCCCGACCATATTTGTCAACTGCTTTCTTTCAATCTGCACATCAGACGCCATAGCTGCCCTGCTTTTGTCCTGCTATACCCTGGAATTGCTCTCACGGAAGTCACCAATGGCTATCATATTGTAGGAGACAATGGACACTCCTTTGTCTTCATCTAACCTGACATTTCTATGGCATTTGTCACAGATGATGACACCCTTCTTAGGTACCATGACAGCACTTTCTCTAGGTGGCTCCTTCTACCCTTCTAATTGTTTCTTCTCAGATTTCTTAATAGGTTCCCTTTCTTGGTCTGCGCGTTTAAATGTTGTTACGTAAGGCTCCATCCTTGGCTCCTTGTCCTTTCACTCAATGCGACATCCCTGAAGGACCTCCTCTTCTCATGTGCCTTCAACATCTTTTACGCACCTCTCAAACCTATGCCTTTAGCTCAGTCATCTCTTCTGCGTTCCTGCGGATGATACCTCCTGGGATTTCTGAACTCAACAGGTTTCAGATGTGATGCGTGATGTTTACCCCAAAACCTTTCCTTCTCGTGAATTTCTAACAGCAGCACCACCTTCACAGTCACCCGAGGCAGACACATGAGAGACATCTTAGACTTTGCCGTCTCTTTCATCTACCAGATCAAGTTCTGTTTGTTTCGCCTCCTTAAGGTTACCAACGTCTCCTGGACAGCTTCCACAGTAGATGGCTGCTACAGCCTTCTAGTTTGTCTCCCCATCGCAGTTTGGCCATAGCCCATCCATTAGCCTCATTTCTGCCAAGTACGTTTTCTAAAATACAAATATTTATTATTGAATATGGCAAACACTGTACTATTTTTGTGTATTATGTTATTTAATTTGAAAAATATCCTTAGAAGGCAAACACAATTATTAGCATATTTTGCAAATGCAGAGCTTGAGGTTCACATACAGTAACTAAATCACAGATCCAGGAGCAAAATGCCAGAGGCCACAATCTTAAACACCTTTTGGCTCCATCACACGCTCAGATTCTCTGCATAGAGTCTCACAGCTCTCAGGATAAAGTTCAAGCTCCGTAGTTTGGCATATAAAGCTTTTATAACATGGCTTTGGTTTATAACTCTATTTTCATCTCCTGCACACACATTATTTGCTGGAGCCATTCAAGGTGACTTGTGCCACGCCTGAATGCCTGGTATTTGTTTTTGGGAACATCTGTTAAACATATGATAATTTACTGAGTGTATGCGTATCACCAGCATGCTGCTCGATTAATTTTCACGAAGTAAACAGACCAGTGAAACCAGCTCCCAGACCAAGAAAGAGAAAACCAGCACCCTGGAGAGACCTTCTCATGCCCTACTCCTATCACTGCCTCCTCAAAGGTAATCATCATCTTGACCTCTAAACACTCTACCTTATACTTACTCAATTATACACCTTAGAGAGTTTCCATGTCAGTAAGAAAGGCCTGTAGCCCGTAGACACGGTGTGGACCACAGCAGAGTTTTGGCCTGTTTGTGCTTAGTACTGTTTCATGAATGAAATAGTTACATGAAGAAATGAATCATATCCACAGGTTAACAGGTGAGGCCCTTACTTTCCTAGAAACTCTTGCTTTGCTTTATGCATAGTTCTTCTGGCAGAGTAACTAACCCCAACCTTCCTTCAGCCCGACAAACAATTGGTGTTTCTTCACTTAACCCTGGGACAGAAATAAATTGGCTCCAGAACTTCAGTGTGCTACAATATGTTCCCAAAGACATATGCTTTCCATAAGAGAGCCTGGAATCAAAGTACATTGGGAGAATCTTAGAAGGAGGTATTGACAGATGAAAAGGGAAAATAAGAAACAAACTGTAACAAGAAAACAATACCCCGGGGCTAAGGAGTGGGGGAATGTTGGGTTTGGTACAAATAAATGGGTCCAATTAATGTATGTTGGTGTCTGCTATTTTGGTTTGTGTTTAGATTTATGTTTCAATACCATACTTCTCCTGTGGAGCTGTTCAGGTCAGCAGGCTGTTGGGAAGTGGAGTCTTTTCAGTCTTTTCCATCAGAATAACACATTCCTTATCATCGGTCATACA